ACATGTATAGTACTTAATCTATCCAGCTCACCGCAACAATTTCAAATTCTGCACCAAACACTTAAAGTATACATTATGTTGTTTACAATATACTTTGTTAACTAACTAAACTATAAAGTATGTAACTAACTAACTATATAGTGACTACCTATCTAACTAGCTGCTTCCTAGCTAAATAGTAAACGAACTAGCTCACTAGTTACCAAATTAGCTTAAGAGTTATTAAATTAGCTTTCTAGCTAGCATGCTGATTTAATAACTAACAAACTAGCTTACTAGCTAAATAACTAGAAGGCTATTATAGCTAGCTATTTAACTGACTCTTTTAAAAAATTAATAAGTAACTTTAAATAACTAGCAAACCATAAAGCTGTTTACTAACAAACTAAATAACAAAATGAACAATGTTTTGCCACAAAGATTCTAAATTGACAAAATTGCTACAATTATAATAAAATTTTCTTTTTAGATAAACATTTCTTAATTGAAATATATTTTTCAAATAATTCTAAAGGACACATGTCAAATAATAAGTGTTAGGCGACATTGTATTGTCTCATTATATAAAACTGAATTGTTTTGTTATAAAGATCCAAATATATAAAATTAAACTGTTTTGTAAAACAAAGATCTAAATATATAAGATTAAACTGTTTTGTAATAAAGATCTAAATATATAAAGTTAAACTGTTTTGTAATAAAGATCTAAATATATAAAATTAAACTGTTTTGTAATAAAGATCTAAATATATAAATTCAAGAGACCCAGATTATAAATTGTATTACAAGGTTAAACTCATTTCCACGGTCGTGCAGAGATTAAGTTTAACCTATTTAGTTTAATCAAAAGTTCAAAGCTTATTCCTTGCAAACAAAAATATAAAATGAAAATATAGAAATTTTATTTTAAAAAGTTATTACACCAAAATTGTAATGAATTTTATTATATTTTCTGTTAAATTTTCCCACATTATGGAATTTAAAACGAATGCATTTCTTGCAAAGCAATTATAAAAGAGGACGAGGCAAGAAAGATATGCATTCTTTCAACTTTTAGTTCCTACCACAAACTATAATTGTTTTATCCCAATATCTTTGCAAACCCATGTCGTAGACCTTTAAATTCTGTTAGATCATAGTCTAAGTGTGATCAGGTTGCAAATATATTGGATTAGTTAAGTTTTTTGCAATAACTCAGTTCCTTTGTTTTACAAAGTTGATTTTAATATTTTTTATGTTCAGGTTTAAAGAGTTGGGATATCTCCGAGGTTCATGTGGACCTGGAGAAGGAGTTGTCTGTGATCACGGACTGTGCTCCACCTGGAGAGGAGGCCAGAGGAGGTCAGACATTTTTTTTTATTTTTTTCTTTTTGCATAGAATTCCGTCACAAACGATCCGCTAACATTTTTTAAGCTTTGTATGAATTAAATATACTTCTTTACTTTCGAGAAAAGGAGAAAGAAAACACTTCTTTTTGTTTTTCTAGTCACAACATTCATTTTTTACCTTATCCAGACTAACTTAAATGGATTTTATTCAAACCCCCTTTTATTTTTCCTGATAAATGAGCCCGGGCGATAAAATTAGGTTTTAATTTTGGACACTTTATGGCCCAGGCTGGCTTTTTTGTACCCGGCTGAACAATTTATTGTCCTGACTGAAATTTAATTATGCTTAAAATCTTAACCTGGTCAAGTGTTAAATTTTGACATTTTGAGAGATTGAGTTTTATTTTTTTAGATACTTATATTTCTTGATGTCTTGAGAAAGATCTCGGCATAACTTGATAAATTATCCCGCCTCAACCTTTACCAGGTCCAGACCTATAGTCTAAGATTTTTATTCCTAAAACATGATTTGCTTGCAAAAATTCAGTAAAAAGGTTTGGGGTTGGTAAGTACCTACTAGAACCACGACCTTCAGGCCCTAAATACTAGTCTNTTCTTCTTCTTCTTCTTCTTCTTCTTCTTCTTCTTCTTCTTCTTCTTCTTCTTCTTCTTCTTCTTCTTCTTCTTCTTCTTCTTCTTCTTCTTCTTCTTCTTCTTCTTCTTCTTCTTCTTCTTCTTCTTCTTCTTCTTCTTCTTCTTCTTCTTCTTCTTCTTCTTCTTCTTCTTCTTCTTCTTCTTCTTCTTCTTCTTCTTCTTCTTCTTCTTCTTCTTCTTCTTCTTCTTCTTCTTCTTCTTCTTCTTCTTCTTCTTCTTCTTCTTCTTCTTCTTCTTCTTCTTCTTCTTCTTCTTCTTCTTCTTCTTCTTCTTCTTCTTCTTCTTCTTCTTCTTCTTCTTCTTCTTCTTCTTCTTCTTCTTCTTCTTCTTCTTCTTCTTCTTCTTCTTCTTCTTCTTCTTCTTCTTCTTCTTCTTCTTCTTCTTCTTCTTCTTCTTCTTCTTCTTCTTCTTCTTCTTCTTCTTCTTCTTCTTCTTCTTCTTCTTCTTCTTCTTCTTCTTCTTCTTCTTCTTCTTCTTCTTCTTCTTCTTCTTCTTCTTCTTCTTCTTCTTCTTCTTCTTCTTCTTCTTCTTCTTCTTCTTCTTCTTCTTCTTCTTCTTCTTCTTCTTCTTCTTCTTCTTCTTCTTCTTCTTCTTCTTCTTCTTCTTCCTCCATTTTTTTTAATCCTTTCCTTTTTTCTTTTTTTTAATATATTATTTAGAATGTAACACCTCTGTTTTATTAGTGCACTAAACCAAAATAGTGTTGTAAACAGTTTATTAAAATAAAGTTTGATTAACCTTCTCTCTTTGTTAAAAAAAAATAATTGATTTAAAAAGATATTTTTTTCTTTTTCTATAGTAATCAGGGTATAATTGACTATTACATACTTTCTATTGACAAAACTCCTCTTATATACAATTTATATGGTATTATTATGTATTAACTAAATATTGCTTACACGTCACTTTTATGCATTTTTGATAAAAACACATTTTTATTTACATTTACATTACAATTACTTTGAGTTTAATCTAAAAAAATGTTTTGTAAACGTAAAATTGTGATTATAACTAAACTATAGTTGACATATCGCTTCTAAAAGTCTAACAGATTGTAAAAAAATATAATATTTTCTATTCCAAATATTTCTAATATTTGCCAGATCTGTAAAATGAAAGTTTTCACTTTAAAACTAATTGTTAGATCGTTAAAAGTTTCTCTTTCTCAGCAAACTATCTATTGATTGAATCCTTCAACTTGATGAAATTTATTTCAAGAAAATAGAAAAATTTAAGATGGAAAATGTTTGTAAAAATATTTGTAAGATATGAACATGTTGATGGTAAAGAAGTAAGTTTTTCTCACGAACTCTTTGCTTCTTCTTATATCTTTGCAACCTGGTGATGATAACTATTAAATTTATTTACCTAACATCAATCAAAGTTTGAACTATTAAAGGTCTACGACATCAGGTTGCAAAGATATAGGGATTAGAAAATCAGAGTGTTTTTTATAAAAACTCGAAAAGATGACTCGGTCAAATATAAATCAATTAATAATATTCATATCGTAATTTTTTTAGGAGAGCGATTAATTCAATTCGCTACAGAAAACTTAGTTACTGAAGTTCTTATTCACCCTCAGGTAGATATTCGATCTTTTAGCTTATTTTATTTTTAGAATTTCAAATCTTGAAGATATGAATTGAAAATTTACATTATCCATTAAGCGAAATTAAACTTTAATTGTTTTTAATGATTCAGAATATTTAAAAAAATGTTCGTGGAGAAAAGTCATTTGTCGTTTTAACTCAAATATAATTTAATTAATATATTAATATAATATATATTAATTAATATAATTTAATAATATAATATAATTAATATATTAATATAATTAATATATATTAATATATAATTTGATTTTAAACATAAGGGACTAGATGCTGGCAACAAACTCTAATATTTATCATATCTTGGTAACCATTCTTTGATATTTCCAACTTAGACTATACAATCGAGATGAGTTCTTATATTTAAATATTGAAGATTTCGACATTGGGTTGCAAAGATATAAGGATAAGAAAATTAGAGTTTTTGACGAGTTTTGAATAGATCCATAAAAACTAGCAAGATATGAAGCTCTTTTAATAAGTTGTTTGAAAAAATCACCATCATTCTCTTTAGAATTTATTTTTAACAAGAGTTTGATGGTTTCCTCTGAACCTGAAAGTGATGAATTCTAAAAATTCTAAAATGAATAATGAACGTGAAGCAAATATTAAACATTTTACAAGTTTGGGATTAATTTTCACACGGGGTAGAATGGGGAAATTACTTGAAACATTAAAGTATTTTGATAACTAATCCTCTGTTCCTTAAACTATTTAATCCTCTGTTCCTTAAACTATTTAATCCCCTATCCCTTAAACTATTTAATCCTCTATTTTTAAAAATATTTAATTTAATCCTTTGTTCCTTAAACTATTTAATCCTATATTCTTAAAAATATTTAATTTAATCCTCTGTTCCTTAAACTATTTAATCCTCTATTTCTTAAACTATTTAATTCTTTATTCTTCAAACTATTTAATTTTCATCTTTAAACTATTTAATCCTCTATTATTTAAACTATTTAATCCTCTATTATTTAAGCTATTTAATCCTATTTAATACTAAAACATCAACTAGTTTAATTTTAAATTCTCTGTAAAAGTGAGTTTTGGATGTGCAGGAGACAACAAAGGAAATTGTCAAATTCCAACACTTTTCAAGAGATGGGAAAGTGACAATTTCTTCCCTATTTTTACACAGTTGAAGGTTTAAAGGGTGAATGATTAATTGTGACTTTAAATTACATCAACAGTTCCTTTAAGCGTAAACAAAACATGAAGTTCGTTTCTATTTCACACACGAAACCGCGGTGTAACTGTAAAGGGCGGCTTTAATACTTATTTTTATTACTAGGTGAACACACTTCAACAATGCATGAAGAATATGCTTGGAAGCTTTACCAAGCATCGACATATTATACATGCTGGATACACATTCGCAGCTCAGGGTTCCTGGATACTGCAGGTAATATTTATATACGCTGGATACACATTCGCAGCTCAGGGTTCCTGGATACTACAGGTAATATTTATATACGCTGTATACACGTTCACAGCTCAGGGTTCCTGGATACTGCAGGTAATATTCATACACGCTGGATACACATTCGCAGCTCAGGGTTCCTGGATACTGCAGGTAATATTTATATACGCTGGATACACATTCGCAGCTCAGGGTTCCTGGATACTGCAGGTAATATTTATATACGCTGGATACACATTCGCAGCTCAGGGTTCCTGGATACTGCAGGTACTATTTATATACGCTGGATACACATTCGCAGCTCAGGGTTCCTGGATACTGCAGGTAATATTTATAGACCCTGGATATACATTCGCAGCTCAGGGTTCCTGGGTACTGCAGGTAATATTTATACACGCTGGATATACATTCCTCAAGGGTTATATTTCTAAACAGGGTTTATTTCTAAATTCTCTTAATTCTTTTAAATTACATTTCGGTGAATTATTTTTCTCCATTTCTTCAATTTTTATTTTATTTTGAACATATTGAAAAGTTTAATACTATTCGTTTGTGAATAGAAAACTGAACAATTTGTTGAGAATTTGGAAGAGTTTTCAAAGAATTTATTGAAAATTTCTCTAGAAATGACTGTATTTAAACTTTCTTTTCCTTCACTGCGCCCCACCCGTATATATCTTTAAGTAATCTGAACAGATTTGTATTTTGAATTAGAAAACCTGTTTTCAAATTAAAACATAAATTTGAACACAAATAGGAAGAAACCCGACAGGAATAAAAACCTTTTCGACGTCTTTGGATTAAAATAAAAATTAAAAATTGGTTTTTAATCTTGTATTTCCATACCGGGTAATATTTCCATACCGGGTAATATTTCCATACCGGGTAATATTTCCATACCGGGTAATATTTCCATACCGGGTAATATTTCCATACCGGGTAATAATTAATTATTTTGAAACATCATAAAGGTTAAAGCCCGATTATTGTAACGCCAAATGCCTTTTACAAGTCTAAAAGCAGTATTTTTCATGATAAAGTTCTGTGTTAAACTTTTCTGTTAAAAGGTTAAATAAATCAACAAGCAGAGATATTCCTAGATTTATCTTTGTTTGTATAAAAATAATATTTTGTGTCAGAGACCGGAAAAGGATTTGTATAAACCGGAAGATGAAAATAAAAGTCCTTTGAAGAGTTCATCCTTTTTCTCTAGTTTTGCGTCCTACTCAGAGCAGGTCTGCAAACTACTGCAGTCTTAGATAAATTCATTCTTCAATGCCAGAACTTTGGCGGTTCCAACCCCCCCCCCCCTCCTTCCCCACCCCACTTTTCCTGGGACCGAATTTAATTAATTTGAATTGCCTACCACCGGTTCAAATTTTTATCACGGATTCAAATCCTTCCTTAATCTTTAATTTTGAATCAGTGGTTCAAATTTGAACCGGCAGTATAGGTAGTTTAGTGATGTAAATTGAGAAACTTGTCATTAAAAACTTTATTCTGTATTTTAAACCAAAGTAACTATAATATTTCTATTTTAGGATGGAAACTTCTCGAATGAAGAGTTTGTTAGTGTTTTTGAAGAATATGATGTACAGCGTGTCATCAGATCCTTCGAGAGATCAATCTCAATCCATCTTCACTGTTGTCCCAGAGGAGATTGGAACCAGGTGATCCAACCCATCCTGGATTCATCCAACCCATCCTGGATTCATCCAACCCATCCTGGATTCATTCAACTCATCCTGGATTCATCCAACCCATCCTGGATTCATCCAACCCATCCTAGATTCATCCAACCCATCCTGGATTCATCCAACCCATCCTGGATTTATCCAACCCATCTTGGATTAAACCAATCCGTCCTGTATTCATCCAAACCTTCCTGTATTCATCTAACCTTTCATGGATTCATCTAATCATTACTCTATCCATCCGATCTTTACTGGATCCATCCAATCCTTACTTTATCCATCCAATCCTTGATGTATCCATCCAATCTTTACTGGATCCATCCAATCCTAAATGTATCCATCCAATCCTTACTGTATCCATCCAATCCTAAATATATCCATCCAATCCTTACTATATCCATCCAATCCTTACTGTATCCATCCAATCCTTACTGTATCTCCCCCCCCCTGGACAAATTCCTGAATACGTCCCTGCTTAAAGCTGCAAAGCTTAACAAAATTTTCCATGTTTAATAAACCATGAAGAAATATATTTTATTATATCTTTTTGGTTATCATTTTCTTGAAAGGAGTGTTAAATTCTTGTTTGACGGTTCACCTCAAAACATAATTACAAAAAAATTGAGTGATTTAGAACAGTTTGCTAAAGATGAAAAAACACAAAAAAAAACCTAAATGATAGTAAAACTAAAATTGAAAATATTTTGAAAATTTCTAAGTTAGTTTATATTATCCAACTGTACAAAAGGTTTGAATGTGAAACCTTGGCTTAAAATGATCTGTTTCTGTCAATTTGAGCCCCTTGGCCTGGAAAAATTAGGTTTCTTATCTTCTCCGGAGATTCTTGCAATATTTTCTAACCTTCAAGATTTATCTCAGATATTTACATGATTTGATATATTTTCTTTATCTTTAATTAACTTTAATCTCCTAATCTCTTTATATATATTTGAAATGAAATAATCCAACCTCTTTCAATCAATTAATCATTTCCTTAATTTTTTTCTCACCATCTTTTAACCTATTATCTTATTATTTGTGTTGTTTTTTTTAATATAATTTACTATAATCTTTGTTGGTTTTTCACTGGAAGGAACTAGAAGCGTAATTTCAAGTGGCCCTCCACACTATGAAGGCAATGCCCGATTCACAACAGTACCTTTGAAACCTTTATCACATTAATAATAAGGAAGATATTATCAGTTTTTTTAGATTTAAAAATACCTTGATTCTGATAATTCCTATATGTTTTCCTGTGGTAGAAATGCGCAAATCTCTTTTGAAAAATTACCAAAATTGAAAATAATCATTTTTCAAAATATCATAAATTATAAGTATTGTGAATCGGGCATTGCCTTCTTTGCAGTCCCTTTATGTGTTCCCTATTTACCTCCATTGTTGAGTTTATTCAAGATTGTTTCTTTTCAGGATGTTATGAACCAGCAGCCGTTCTCTAAACTGTGTCAAGTATCTGTAAACCCTGAGACAGCATTCAAGGATTCGGAACCGGTTTCCCAATTCATCAACTATCTGGATCCGTTCCTACAACCACAATCTATCCAGGAACGACTCCCACCCTCAGATGTGGTGGGAAACATACGGTTCAGCCATCCAACCCTTTATGTGTTCCCGGGTGGACAAGGAGACTCAGCTCTCTTTGGCATCAACGGGTTTAATATGCTCATAGATGGCGGGTTTAGTCGAAAAGCTTGTTTCTGGGATTTTACGCGGCATCTGGATCGTCTGGACGCAATACTTATTACTAGACTTAATGATGAAAATACCCAAGGAATTAACGCAGTATTAGAGAGGAAGGTTGTGAATAATGTTTATCCACAGATTGGTCATTTCTTCGCCAATCTAGTTGTTGGAGAAGGAGAGGTCGAGAAGAAAGATGAAGCTGATAAAGATCAGCTTCTAGTAAATGTTGTTCATGAAGCAAACTCAATGATTGAGAACCTTCGAATTCTCAACCTTAAACCACAAATATGCTTCCGGGATAATGTGTGTGACCCCATTAACCTGTACCATAAGGTCGGGCATGGCAAGCTTGACATGTACGTGCTCAACCCGTCCAAAGATTCCCGGGAAGTAAAAGAATTTATGTCACGTTGGAGTGAAGATGGTGGCCATCTTGGCACCTTCAAATCTGGAATAAATGTGGATGGGAAGGAATTATGGCTTCCAATAGCAAACTTAGTATCTGTTTGTGCACTTGTTGTCTGGCACCCAGCTAACCCTAATGATACAATTACTAGGCTTCTTTTCCCTGGTAGCACCCCGCAGAATAAAATATTTAAAGGATTAGAAAAACTAAAAAAGTTGGAATGTTTGAAATATTCAACATGCTCAGCAAACACCTTGCAACAGGCAAAATCTAAACAACCAACTCAAACAAAAGAATTTGAGATGAAGAAGGAAAAAGTATTTAAACCACAACAATCTGAAGAAGAAAAGATTGCAAAACAAGAGAAACTTGCTAAAAAGAAAAAAGAAAAATTAAGAAGAGCAAAGGAAGAAAAAGAAAGGTTGGAAAAAGAAAAGAGAGAAGAAAAGGAAAAGAAGGATAAAGAAAAAGAGGAAAAAGAGAAGTTGGAAAAAGAAAAGAAAGAAAAGGCTAAACAAGAAAAACTTGAGAAAAGACAAAAGGAAGAAAAGGAAAGGAAAGAGAAAGAGAAAAAAGAGCAAGAAAAGAGAGAAAAAGAAAGAAAAGAGCAACAAGAAAAGAAGGAAAAGGCAGAAAAGTTAAAGAAAGAAGCCCAGGAAAAGAAAGAAAAAGAAGAAAAGGAAAAGGCAACTCTTGTTGTTGAATCCAAAACGCCAGAAAAAGTTGTGAAGAAAAAATCAGTTAAGGAACCAGTTTTAAAACCTAAGAAGTCAGAAACATTGGACAAAGTCAAACCTAGTTCCTCAAAGAAAGTGAGCACATCCAAGTTGGCCCAGAAACCAATCTCAGCAGCACCTTCAAGCAAACTTAAAAAGGATGAAAATAACAAAAAAGTAATGGAGACAAGAAAAGCTGCGGCATCCAAAAGTCAGACCAAAAGAGAGAAAGATAATGAAATAAAGAGTGTTCCAAGAAAAGTTGTTTCTGGAAAATCTAAAATTAAAACTTCTGAAATTAAAGACAATGAGAGCGGACAGGTCAATGAACAAAGTGTGGCAGAAAAAGTAAGTGAAGCAATTGCCTGCGGAATTATTGACAACAGTCGTGTTGTTAAAGATGAAGATGAAGATAAGGAATCAGTAGTTGAGAAAGATCAGATAGAAGAAATGGAAACCTCAGTTAACCAGGATAACATTGGAAAGGAGTTCCAAAGAGATGAAGATGATCTAGAGATTGAACTCCAGCAGATTGCTGGGGAGGAGGATCAGCAAGATGAGCCTCCAGTTCCAGATATTGGAGATAAAATGAACAATGAAGAGCTCATTGAAACTAATCTAAACCTTCAGCTCAGAGATGATGCAAGGATGAATATTATAGCAGAGCAGAATAATTTAGTAAAGATGACTTTCAACCATGTAAAAACTCCTGATGAAGTTGATGACCTTCCTGAACACGAAGTTGCAGCATTGCATGATGACCTAATTGAGAAGTATACAGATGAGACAGTAGAGCAGGAAAAGGAGAGTGCTCTCCCTACTGGAATTGATGAAGAAGAAGATGAAAAAGATAACAAAGATATTGCTCAGGAAGAGGAGGAGAAGAAGGCTAACCAGGTAATAGTGCAAGATATTGAGGAAAAAGATTTTGAAACGGAAAAGGAAAAATGCACTATCTCTGAAGAAAATGAAAAAGAGGAAGAAAGCAAAATTGCAAAAGATGAAAATGAAAAAGAGCAGACTGATAAAGTTTCAAAGGACAAAGATGAAGATGAAATAAAAGAAGTATGTAATGAGAAGGAAGGTGAAGCAGAAGTAGAAGAAATTGGAACAATTGATAATCTAACAGATTACGAACATAAGGAACCTAAAGAAATTATAGAGAATGATGATGAAAAAGAGTATTTAGTGAATGAGGAAATTTGCAAAAAAATAAATGAAGATTTGAAAGAATCTTCAATGGAAAAGGTGGAAGCTGAGGTTGACACTAAGAATTCGGAAAAAGAGAATTCAGAAGAAAATGAAAAGGATGTTAACACCATTGAAGATTTTGAGTGTTTACCACTTCCAGAGAAGCTTTCTCCTCTTGATAAATCAGAAGGCTCAGTTGAAGCTGTAAGAGACAATGAAATCCTGATGGTGAACGTAGAGCAAAAAATCCAGGTGTCTCCTATTACAGAATGTGAGAATGGAGTTGATAATTTAGCTTTTGATGATGTGGATGCATCGCCATTAGCTGTAGAATCAACTGTACAGAATGAAGAATCAGAATTTAATCAGAAACAAGAAATAAATGCTCCACGGACTTTAGGAGAACAAATTGCTAATATTTCACTTGTAAAAAATCAGGATGAAGAAAATAGAAACTTAGCAGAACATGAGGAGAAAGAAATTGCAGAAAAAGACATATCTAAGGGAACAGATATTGCAGTTGAAATCAAATCAGATTATGATACCAAGGCAAGTGTAGCAAACTTGGATGTCAATACAAATGTAACAAATGCGAGCAACCCTGAATGCGTAGACAAGTTGGATATGGACAATTCTGAAAATAAAAAAGATGAAGAAGCCACTGTAGATAATGCACATGCAAATACTACTGCTAATGAAGTAAATATGAATTCTACCACTGCTGAAGATGTTGAAAATACCATCAATCTAGAATATGTGGATATTACAACCGATAGAGCATATGTGGATACTACTTCAGATAAAGCAGATGTGGATACTAATGCAGATACAGCAGATGTTGATACCATTGCAGATACAGCAGATGTGGAAACTACTTCTGATACAGCACCTGTGGATACTACTGCTGATACAGCAGATGTTGATACTATTGCAGATACAGCAGATGTGGAAACTACTTCTGATACAGCACCTGTGGATACTACTGCTGATACAGCAGATAATAATACCATTGCAGATAAAACAGATGTAGATACAACTGCTGATACAGCCCCTGTGAATACTACTTCTGACACAGCACCTGTGGATACTACTACTGATACAGCAGATGTTGATACCATTGCAGATACAGCAGATGTGGAAACTACTTCTGATACAGCACCTGTGGATACTACTGCTGATACAGCAGATACTAATACAATTTCAGATAAAACAGATGTAGATACTACTGCTGATACAGCCCCTGTGAATACTACTTCTGATACAGTTCCTGTGAATACTACTACTGATACAGAAGATGTTGATACCTTTGTAGATACAGCAGATGTGGACACTAGAGCTGATACAACAGATATTAATGCTGATGTAGCACCTATGAAAAATGCTGATGATACAGCAGATATGGATACTACTGCTGATACAGCTGATGTGGATACTACTGATGATACAGAAGATGTGGATACTACTCCTGATACAGTAGCTGCGGATACTGCTGCTGTCACAGCGGATTTGGATACTAATGCTGATACAGCAGATGTGGATACTACTGCTGATACAGCAGATGTGGATACTACTGCTGATACAGCAGATGTGGATACTACTGCTGATACAGCAGATGTGGATACTGCTGCTGATACAGTAGCTGTAGATACTAATGCTGATTCAGCACCTGTGGATACTGCTGCTGATATGGTAGTTGTGGATACTACTGCCAATTCAGCAGATGTTGATAATACTGCTGATACAGCCATTATGGATACTGTTGCTGATAGAGAAGATTTGAATACTATTGCTGATACAACAGATGTGGATACTACTGCTGATACTGCAGATGTGGATACTGTTGCTGACACAGCAGATGTGGATACTACTTCTGATATTGTAGCTGTGAATACTTCTCCTGATACCTTAGCTGTGGATACCACTGCTATTACAGCAAATGTCTATACAATGGGTGATACATTAGATGCAGATACTACCGCTGATAAAACAGATTCTCATGGTACTGAAGATACAGAAGATCTGATAACTGTTGCAGAAAAAGAAAATGTAGATAATACTGCAGATAAAGTGGATTCGGATACTGCTGCTGATAAAGCAGATGTTGATATAACTTCAAATAAAGCAGATGTGGATACTTCTGCAGATAAAGCAAATGTAAAAACTACTGCTAATGTTAATACAGAAGATGTCCATACTGATGCTAAAAGAGCAGATACAGAATATACTGAAGAGGAAGAAGATGTGGATACTACCACAGAAAACACAGATGTGGAAACTACTGAAGACAAGGCAGACATAAATACTACTGCAGACAAAGCAGATGTGGAAACTCTTGTAAATAAATCAGATATGGAAACTGCTGCAGATAAAACAGATGTTGGCTCTAATGTAGATGTACAAGATATTGATACTACTTCAATCAAAACAGAAGTGGATAATACGGCAGATAAAGCAGAAGTTGATACTACTGAAGATAAAGCAGACATGGATGTAACTGCTGATAAAACAGATGTGGATACAACTGCAGATAAGGCAGAAGTGATTACTACTGCAGATAAAGCAGAAGTGGATACTACTGCAGATAAATTAGAAGTAGATAGTACTGCAGATAAAGCAGAAGTTGATACTTCTGCAGATAAAGTAGACATGGATATAACTGCTGATAAAACAGATGTGGATACAACTGCAGATAAGGCAGAAGTGGATACTACTGCAGATAAAGCAGAAGTGGATACTACTGCAGATAAATTAGAAGTAGATAGTACTGCAGATAAAACAGAAGTGGATACTACTGAAGATACAGCAGAAGAGGATACTACTTCAGATAAAGCAGATGTGGATACAACTACAGATAAAGCAGAAGAGGATAATACTTCAGATGAAGCAGGTGTGAATACTCCTGCAGATAAAGTAGATGTGGATACAACTGCAGATAAATTAGATGAGAATGCTACTGCAGATAAAGCAGATGTGGAAACTACTGCAGATAAAGCAGAAGAGAATACTTCTTCAGATAAAGCAGGTGTGGATATTACTGCAGATAAAGCAGATGTGGATAATATTACAGATAAAGAAGATGGGGATACTGTTGCTGATAAAGCAGAAGAGGATACTACAGCAGATAAAGCAGATGAGGATACAACTGCAGATAAAGCAGAAGAGGATATTACTGCACATGAAGCAGGTGTGAATACTCCTGCAGATAAAGTAGATGTGGATACAACTGCAGATAAATTAGATGAGGATACAACTGCAGATAAAGCAGATGTGGATACAACTGCCGATAAAGCAGAAGAGGATACTACTGCAGATAAAGCAGATGTGGATACTACTGTAAATAAAGCAGATGTGGATAATATTACAGATAAAGCAGAAGTTGATACTTCTGCAGATAAAGTAGACATGGATATAACTGCTGATAAAACAGAAGAGGATACTACTGCAGATAAAGCAGATGTAGATACAACTGCAGATAAAGCAGAAGAGGATATCACTGGACATGAAGCAGGTGTAGATACTACTGCAGATAAAGCAGATGTGGATAATATTACAGATAAAGAAGATGGGGATACTGTTGCTGTAAATAATGCAAATATGGATACAGCAGTAGATAAAGCAGATAATGATATGGATAATGCAGATACTGCCTCAAACAAAACAGATGTAGAAACTACTGCAGATAATTCAGATGTAATTTCTTCTGCCGATGTTGTTACTACTGGAGATGAAGAAAAGGAGAACTCTTTTGCAGATAAAGCAGATTCTACTATGGATACAGTAGATGTGGATACTACTGCAGATAAAGCAAATGTAAATAATACTGCAACAAAACCAGATGTGACTGTGGAAAGTGCTGATTTATTAGAAAATGTTGATTCTTCTGTAGATACAGCATATGTGGATACTGTTACAAATCAAACTGATTTGAAAACCATAGCAGATAAATCATATATGGAAACTGCTGCAGATAAAATAGATGTGGATACGGCAGCATTTGAATCAGAAAAGGATACTAAAGCAGACATGGAAAATGCTACAGTTAAAGTAAAGTTAGGCAGTAATGCACATGCAGAAGATGTGGATACTCTTGCAGAAAAAGAAGATGTGGAATATTCTGCAGATGCTCCTGCAGTTAAAGCAGTTGTGAAAACTGTTACTGTTACATCAGGTATAGATACTGTTGCAGATAAATCAGATGTGGGTACTACTGAAGATGGAGCAGATGTGGAAACTACTTCAAATAAAACAGTTTCTGATACTCATGCAATTTTATCAGAAGTAGATGCTGCTGCAGTTACATCAGAAAATAATACTGTTAAAGTTGAAGCAGATATGGATACTTCTGCAGACAAAGTAGTTGTGAATATTACTACAGATAAAGCGGAAACTGCTGTAATTAAAGTAGTTGTGGATACCACTGCTGACACAGCAGACGCTGACATTAATGCTGACACAGCAGATGTTGATACTACTGCTGACACAGCAGATGTTCATAGCACTGCAGATAAAGCAGATGTTCATAGTACTGAAACTGATATAGAAACTTCTGCTGATAAAGAACATAATGATGCTAGTTCAGATAGAGAATATGTGGATTCTAATGCAGATAGAGCAAATGTTGATACTACTGCATGCAAAGCAGATGTGGACAGTGGTTCAATTAAAGCAGATGTGGTTATCGATGCGGTTACATTAGATATGGATACAGTTGCAGATGAACCAGATCTGGAGACTGTTCCAGACAAAGCAGATGTAGAAACTTCTGCAGAAAAAGAAATTGCGGAGGATAATAGTGCAGACAAAGTAGATGTTAATACTAGCGGAGACAAAGGAGATTTGGATACTAGTGCAGAAAAAGAAATTGTGAAGGATAATAGTGCAGACAAAGCAGATTTGGATATTAGTGCAGATAAAGCAGGTACAGATACAGCAGATGTTCATATTCCTATAGAAGATGTGGATATCATTGCAACTAAAGAAGATGTGGACACTACTACAGATACAGCAGATGTAAATGCTACTGCAGAGAAAGCAGACGGGGATAATGTTGCAATTAAAGCAGTTGCAGAGGTTAATATTACCTCAGATAAAGCAGATACTACTGCAGTTACTGCAGATGTAAATACTACTCTAGAAGTGAATACTACTGGAGATGAACAAGACCTTGACAGTACTGCAGATAGAGAAGATGTTGATACCACTGAAGTAGATGTGGATATTTCAGCAGTTACAAATGGTATGGATGTAAATACTGCTGAAATTAAAGCAAATGTGGAATATATTGTAGTTTCAAGAAATGAGGCTACAACTGTAGGCAAAGTAGATATGGATACCCCTGCATACACAGCAGATGTGGATACTACTGCACAGAAAGTAGATGTTGATATTTCAAATACATCTGACATAAAAACTGCTGCAGATAAAAAAGATCTAAAAACTATTACAGATGAAGCAGATGAGGATATTGTCGCAGACAAAGCAGATGTGGAATCTTCTGAAGACAAAGAAGATGTTGATACTAGTTCAATTACACAAGAGGTGGATACTACTGCAGATACAGCAGATGTGGAAACCCTTGCAGACAAAGAAAATGTTGATACCAGTGGAGTTACAGCAGAGGGGGATACCATTGCAGATACAGCAGATGTGGAGACTTCTGCAAACAAAGAAGATTTTGATACTAGTGCAGTTACAGCAGATATTAATACTACTACAGATAAAGTAGATGTTGATACCAGTGCAGATATGGAAACTGCTGCAGATATAACAGATATTGGCTCTAATGTAGATGTACAAGATGTTGATACTATTTCAATCAAAACAGAAGTGGATACTACTGCAGATAAAGCAGAAGTGGTTACTACTGCAGATAAAGCAGATGTGGATACTGTTGTGAGTGAAACAGATGCTGACACTTATGCAGATAAAACAGATTTCAACACTACTTTAGACAAGACAGGTGTGGATACTTCTGAAAATAAAGCAGATGTGGATACTAGTGCAGAGAAAGAAGATGAAGATACTTCTGAAAATACAAAAGATATAAGAACTACTGCAGATAAATCAGATAAGGATACTGCTTCAGATGGATCAGAAGTGGAAACTGTTGAGGTGAATTCTTCTGTAGATACTGGAGTTGCAGATTCTAATTCATTAGAAGATGATACTTTGGCAGTTATGAAAGATATGGATAATACTTTAGTTGCTGAAAATACATTTACTAGTGCAGATGTGGAAACTACTGCCAATAAAGAAGGTGTAGATACTGCTTTAGATATGGGTAATCTGGATACTGCTGCATGTACAACTGGTGTGGATACTGCTGCAGATATGGGTAATCTGGATACTGCTGCATGTACAACTGGTGTGGATACTGCTGCAGATAATACAGTGAAGCAAGCAGATGTGGATTCTACTGAAGATAATGAGGAAGTGGATACTACTGGAAATAAAACTGTTTTGGACACTAGTGCAGATAAAGCAGATATAGAAACTATCAAAGATGAAGCAGATGTATATACTGTTGCAGAGAAATTAGATGTGGATACCACCACAGAGAAAGCTGATGTGGAAACTACTGCAGATAAAACCAATGTAAATATTTCTTTAGATAAAACAGATGTGGATACTTCTGCCAAGAGAACAGATGTGGATGCAACTGAAAGTCATAAGGATGTTGAAATGACTGTTATTAATACTAAAGCACACACGGCAGATGCTGCACCCTGTGCAGAAAAGACAGATAAGGACATTTCTAAAGAATTAGCAGATTTAGATACTGATATAAACACAACAGCCACTACTGTCACTACAAAAGAAGTGGATACCATTGCAGGTACTACAGAAATTGCTAAATCAGAAGATACAGAAGATGTGAGCACTACTGCTGACAAAAAAGATGTGGTAAAAAGTGTAGATAAATTAGATGTGAATAATACTGCAGATAAAGCAAAGGTTGATACTTCTACAGATAAGGCAGATGTTGATACTACTGTGAATAAAGTGGATGTTGATACTACTGCACATACAGGAAAAGTAAATACAACTGGAGATAAATCAGATATGGACATGAGTTCAAGGATTTCAGATGATACAATTGCATATCAAGTAGATGAGATGCCCACAGATGAAGTAGATGAGATTATCAGATCTGAAGAAAATCCTATCATTGAAGTTATAGAAATAGACACTACTATAGATGTAGCACACATGAATATTGATTTAGCAGAAAAAACTATAGATTTAGTTGGAAAGACTACATCTGATGAAGCCATCATTTCCATGCATGTAGTAGATAATACTGAGGATGTTGCAAACAAGGCAACAATTGAGGGAGGCAAGAGGAACAATGTGTTAGATGTGATTGCAGATGAAGAACACAAAAGTGCAGATGAAGCTGACAAGAGCACAGATGAGGAGCATAGGGCTACAAGTACAGGACAAAATACAGCCAATGATTTTGCAGATTTAGAAGACAAAACATCATTGAGGACAGTCAAAAGTGAAGACAGATTAGACTTGATTACAGATGACACAAATATGAGTGCAAATATAACAGAAAGAGTTGTGGATGTAATGGACAAGAAAAAAGACATAGAAGACAAGTCTTCAGATGTGCCAGACAGTGCAAATGTAGAAGACAAAGCTAATGATCAAAAAGAAAACACTACAGAAGAATCAAACAAGACCACCAATGTAGCAGAAACATTTGCTAAAGAAGAAGCAGATGTTACTGACAAGTCTCTAGATGTAGAAGTTCCAGATACAGAAGAGAAAAATGCATATGAAACAATTAATATTGCAGATGTAGCAAGCAAAACTACAGATAAGGTAGATATGATTGCAGCCCTAGAAGACCAGATTTCACATACTGGGGACAAGTCTACAGATGTAACAGAAAAGACAGAGAGAACTTCAGAAGCAATCAATAACATTTCACATTCAGCAGACAAGACTGCATATGTAGCAGAGGAGTCTTTAAAAGTAGTTGATAACACTTTACATTCTGCAGACAAAACTGAAGCTGTAGCAGAGGACACTTCAGAAGCAGTTAAAAACTCTTTACATTCGGCAGACACGACTGCAGATGTAATAGAGGACACTTCTGAAGTTGTTGATAACACTTTACATTTGCCAGACAAGACTTCAAATGTAGCAAAGGACACTTCAGAAGTAGTTGATAACACTTTATATTCAGCAGACAAGAATGAAGATGTAGCAGATGAGACTTCAAAAGTAGTTAATAACACTTTTACTTCAGCCGACAAGAATGCAGATAAAGCTGAGAAGTCTTTAGAAGCAGATACTTTATATTCAGAAGACAAAACTGCAAATAAAGAAGAGGAGTCTACTGAAGTAGTTGATAACACTTTACATTCAGCAGATAAGGCTGCAGATGTGGCAGAGGAGACCTCAGAAGCAGTTGATAACACTTTACATTCAGTAATCAAGACAGCAGATATAGCAGAAGAGTCTACTGAAGTAATTGATAATACTTTACATTCAACAGACAAGACTACTGATGAAGCAGATGAGTCTTCAGAAATAGTTGATAACACTTTATATTCAGCAGACAAAACTGCAGATGTAAAAGATGACACTTCAGATGCCATTGATAACACTTTGCATTTAGCAGACAAGACTACAGATCTAGCAGAGGAGACTTCTGAAGTAGTTGACAACACTTTACATTTGGCAGACAAGAATTCAGATAAAGCAGAGAAGTCTACTGAAGTAGTTGATAACACTTTATATTCAGCAGACAAAACTGCAGATGTAAAAGATGACACTTCAGATGCAGTTGATAACACTTTGAATTTAGCAGACAAGACTACAGATCTAGCAGAGGAGACTTCTGAAGTAGTTGATAACACTATACATTCAGCAGACAAGAATGAAGATGTAGCAGAGGAGTCTACTGAAGTAGTTGATGACACTTTACTTTCAGCAGACAAAACTGCAGATAAACCAGAGGAGTCTACTGAAGTAGTTAATGACACTTTACATTCAGCAGACAAAACTGCAGATGTAGCAGAGGAGACTTCAGAAGTAGTAAATAACAATTTACATTCAGCAGACAAGACTGCAGATATTGCAGAGGAGACTTCAGAGGAAGTTATTAAGATTATGCATACAGCTGAAAAACCAGAAAATGTTGCTGATAATTCTGATAAAATTGACAATTACGGAGTTGCATTAGAGGAATCTGTTGATGAAGATAACCATATTGTTGCAGATGAAGTAGACAACACTGAAGAAAGAACAGACAAAACAGCAGATATATCAGATAACACAGCAGATAAAGAAAATGAATCTGTTAATGTATTCGTCAATTCTGCTGAAGATGTAACAAATAACACTGCAGATAAAACACACAAGCTGACAAAAGATGAAGAAAAATGTTTAGATGTTTCCCCTCAATCTTCAGAGGAAAAAAACAAGACTATAAATGAAACAAACATGTATTCAGATGAAGAAAACAAAGGTGTTGAGGTAACAGACAAAAGTGTTGATGAAGCGGACAAGATAGCAGAAAAAACTGCAGTTGTAGTTGACCAGACTTCAAGTGAAGCACAAAAGGCAAAGTATGAGGTAGAAGCAGACAAGCCTACAGATTTTGAAGATATGGCTGCATATAAAGAAAAGAGTGCAGATGAAGGGGATAAATCTACAGACAAAGCTGAAAAAAAATTCAATAATGAAAATTTAGATTATCTTAAAGCAGATCAATCTGAAAGTTCAGTCACATATGAAACCAATGGAAAAGCTATAGACATTGCTGCAGACTTGAAAAAGAAGGAAAAAGATGGAGCAGACAAATCTGAAGATACAGAAGACAAGGAAACAGAGAACATATGCAAATCTGCAGACATTACAGCTGAGGAAGTAGATGAGGCAGACAAATCTGAAGTCATAAAAGAAAAGGAAACTGATGACTCCAACAACTTTCAGGAAGAAGGATTTTTTTCTGACATAAAAGACAACAAGATACCAACAGAAGAAAATGAAAATGATAAAGTAGAGCATTCCTTAATCTTATCAAATGAGACTGCAGATTTAGCTGGAGTACTCACTGTTTCAGATACAGAAGGAAAAACTATAGTTGAAGATGACAAGGATTCAGCTAAAACTTTAGATGCTGCACAAATAACTCCAGATGAGGCATTTCAGTCTTTGAATACTTCAGAGGAAGTTGAAACAGTCAAGGAGTCAGACAAAGAAAGCAAGCTAATTGAAACAGTGGGAGAGATTGAAAATATTAGGAATCATGAAGAGTTTGAAAAATCTGGCATTTTAGATGTATATTCAGTTGAATCTATGGAGTCCTTGACAGCAGATTCAGTTGACAATTCAATGGATTCAAAAGCTGAAGTATCAAAGATGGATCAAGATAATATTAATAGAAATAATGAAGAAGCAGTAGAAAATCCCAAAGACACTGCAGTAGAAGAACTTGTTTTCCCAGCAATGGAGAGTTCTGAAACTATTGTAGAAAGTGCTACAGTGAGATCTGATGTGGATGTAGTTGACCAAGCTGCAGAGATGTTGGATGGAAAATCAGAGGTCAATTCTGCAGTTACATTTAATGGCAAAGAAGCTGATAATTTTGAAGCAGCAACTCATGAAGCAACTGAAGTAGATAAATCTGAAGACACAAAAAATCTGATATCTGATGATTCAGTAGCAGATACTAAATCAGATAGAGATGAATTCCCTGCTGTTGAAAAACCTGAAGATTCTCCAACTAATAAATCCGTAGACTTTTCAACAGATATATCTGTAAATATTGTAACAGATAAAAATATTGATACGGCAACAGATGAATCTGATAATGACAAATCTGCAGCAGATGAAGATACAGGCAATACAACCGAATCCACCGCTACTGAAGCCTTGGCAGATGAAAAGCCCAAAGAAACTGCATTAGATGACAGTTTGGACATGGTAGTTGATATCACTGTAGTTGGCAAAACTGAAGTCTTTTCAGATGATAAATCTAAAGACACTGCAATTGATGATATTTTGGACACTGCACCTATCAAATTTGAAGAAAATACAGCTGAGACATCTGAAGCCATAGCAGCTATAAAAACAGAAGACATTGCAGTTGAAAGACATACAGTTACATTTCAAAACACACAAGAAGCAACACTATCTGAAATTATGACAGAAATTGAAAATGTAGAAGTCTCAGGTACAACATCAGTTGTTACATCAGAGATATCAAAAGAAATTGGTTCAGAAAAAGATGATGACAATGTTTCATTTAAATTAGAGGAAACTTCTTCAGAAAAGGTTGAGGAACTTGTAGTAGAAAAATCAGTGAGATTTGAAGACACTACTTTAAAAGAAAAGGAAAACACTACTGTAATGAAATCTGAAGACACCAAAGCAGAAAAAAAAGAGAAAACTGTCACTGAGAAGTCTGAGGATACTGCGATACACAAGAGAGCAGTTATATCTCAGGAAATTGTAACAGAAAAATCTAATGTGCTAAGTGAAGACACTACAGCAAAAGAATTTGATGCTGTAGCAGAAAAATCAGATGTTGCAGCAGAAAAATCTAATGTTGTGGCAGTAAACTCAGATATTGAAGAAGAAAAATCAGATGTTGTAGCCGATATATCTGAGGATGGTGAAGCTAAATCTAATGACAATGTAGAAAAGACATTAGAAGACACTGCAGTAGTAATATCCGATGATAAATATCTTGAAAAAAGATCTCTCCTTACTCATTCAGAGGTTACTATTGAAATAACAGAGCCAGAGAAAGAGGATCCTGAATTAGCAGATCAGTCTCTTTATGATGAAAATGAGATAGAAGCAGTGACTGATGAAGACTACAACAGCCACACAAAAAATGATACTGAAAGCAAAATTCCAGACAATATGGTCACAGAAATAGCATCTGAGGAAACTTTTGACTCAAACCAAACAAGTCCAACCTCTGAGCATAAGAAAGATGTCAAAGATGAATATTTAGTGAATGAAGAAGTAAACAAAATTTCTTCAGAAAATATCCCAGCTGGTGAAGGAAGTCTGGTAAAAGAAGAAAACATTTCTTCTGAAGAAAAGTCTAACTTGGCACAAGATTCTATGTCAAAGGAAAATGAAGTGGAAAAAGAGGAAAGGATTTTTCAAAATACAAAAAAGAAAACTATGGTTGAGGAAGAAATGAAAGAAAACAATTTTGAAGTAAAGGGAAATAACAACAAAGAACCAGATCACGATTCCAATTTCAATTCCAAAGAGGATGACTTACATCTAATATCTGAAGAAGAAACAGCTAATGAGATTCTTAAAACAACTGATACTTCTGAAATAGCATCAAATATTGAAGAGATTGATAAAGTTTTGGAAGTAGAGAATTCTGAATTTGGAAAGGAATCTGAAGAAGACAAAAAAGAGTGCATTTTAACAGAAGACATGAAGGATAATGATTTAGGAAATAATTCAGACTTTGCAAAAGAGACAGTCAAGGAAGTTATCAAAGCTGTTGTGCTTAATGAGACAATATTTGGGTCAACATTTACATTTAATCAAGAAGAGAGCACTGATGAGGGGCCAGTTCTGAGTTCAAATTCAGTAGAGAAGAAATCTGCAGAGATTTCAACAGATGTACCTGCTGAAGACAAGGATAATGAAGCAACAGATTCGGTCCAAAATTCCCAAATTGATTCAGATGAAGAGGGTTTGCTGCCCCGCAGAAAAAGTTGCCTGGTAAATGGTAAAAATCAAGAGGAATCCCCTGAAGAACAAAACATAATAGGTAAGGATTTAAAATTTCAAAAAATCAATTTTCTTCTAACTTCTTTTTTAAGGTGATTCTCAGAATGGTTATAGCAATGAAGAAACAAAAGAAATGAAGGAAATTCATTTTGAATACAAGCAGGAAATTTTGGAAGGAGCTGTTGGTATAGAAACTATCATTACCAACCTTGTGACTGTCCTAGAAGAATTAAGGAAGTCAATTAATTCTCAGAATAGCTTAAACATTATGAAGGAAGAACTGATTGCATTACAGGAAGCATCTAACAAGGTTTCTGATAAATCTGATCACAAATCTGTTGATCAAGATTATGCAGTTGAACTCAGTCTGGAGCTACATATTATATTAGAAAAGGTTCAAAAGCTGACTCAAGAGATGATGCTGATGAGTAAAGATTTGACCTCTACTGGTGAGAAAGCAGAAGAACTCTCAAATCTTCTTGTTAATTGTAAGAAGATTGGAAGCAGTCTCAACTCTCACATATTGATACAGGATAGAACAAAAACACCTCCGTCATCCCCAGAATTTAAAGGAAAGGCTATGCAGGAAGCAGTTGCAGCACAGGATCCTATTTTGTCCTTTGTTTCGCACATTGTGACATCCACAGCTGAGGTTTTAGATAATGATTCTCCTCATGATGATATTATTGATTTAGTTGAAACATCTCAATTCAAAGAAAATATTCAGTCCACAACCCCACAGGAAGATTACCCCGCTCTTGAGAAAATTGGTGGATCAGAGGAAGAAAATAAAGGAATTTTCCGATCCATTAAACAGAAAGTGTCCAGTGCATTCTCTAAATCTGAGGATGTGGAGCAGGTTGAAGAACCTGAGATTCAGCCTCCATCTGAAGAATCTAAAGAGAATAATGATCCTCCACCTTCGGGATTCCTGTCTAGCATTAAGCAAAGAGTTGGTGGATTCTTCTATTCTCAGCCTAAATCAGAAGATGAACAAGAAGTTGAAGAACAAATAGAAAGTAAGTAATTACATTTTTTAAACAATAAACTAAATTAAACTAAACTTTTTTATTTCAGATGAGGAAGACGAGGAAAATGATCTAGAACATAAAATAGCTACTCCCCTGCCAGTTGAAAATATTGGAGTAGAATCCTTACTTTCCTCAACATCACAGATCTTACTGCCAATAAATAAAGATTCTGTTGCAGACCTGAATATTGAGATCTTAAATGAATCTGGTATTATAAATGATGACTTGTACTCAATGGAAACTTCTTATGGATCTGGATTCCATTTTGACACCCCTCCCCCTGTGAGCCTAGAGAGTGATATACAACCTGGTTGTATTGAGGGAAATCTTACTGACAGGACAACAGGAACAATCAGCTCAGCTGATTCTAACTCTATGGATTCAAAATCTGTGGAATTGTCTCATGAAACTGCAGTAAGTGAATCATCCTCCTCCAAAGTCTTGCCAGAGGTTAGTTCCTCAGCAACGTCTGGAACAAGTTCTCAGGAAAAAAATAAGGATTTAAAATCTGAGGGGATAAGTTCAGATGAGCAAATGTCATCTGGAACTTTTAGTATTGAAGGTGGTTCCCCGAGGTTTGCTGACCTCCCACCTAAACTGAAACCTGTTGTTTGCTGGTCAGAGGTAGATCAGGATATTCAAGCTGATCCTAGGAGACGAATGTCAGAGAAATTATCTCTGGATACAAGGAGCGTTTCTAATGCTTCAGATTTGAGTGATGCAGAAATCCCCTCCTCAACACCCCGGAGTGATCTGACCTCACCCACTCAAGAATCAGGAAAGTTTATATACGGAGATAAGGGAGAACGGTTTGCTACTGGAACAGTTGACATTATGACCCAGAGTATTTACATGTACTCTGATGAAAACGATACTGAGGAGGAATGTTTTCAAGATAATATGCTAGATTCCATCTCCCAAGCTACTGATTATCTAAAATCATCTGTGCAACAAGAAGGGGCGACAAGCTTGAATGGAAATTCTATAATTGTAAAGACAGATAATGTGGTTGAACCAGAACCTGAGAAGGATAAGAACACCAAGGTGGTTTCCAGTTTAAGTGAAACAACAACCTCCACAACAATGTTTGATGAAAAATATGCAGCGGCATTCTCAACCTCCTACTATGAGGCACAAGAAGAGAATACATATGAACAGCAGTACCAGGAATCCTATGAGGAACAGCTAGTTAAAACTAGTATATCTCATAGTATTAACACAGATACTAAACCTTCCAAGGATATTCCAGAAAGTCCCAAACCTTCCAGCTCTGTCCAACCTGGAGACCAGGAAGCATCCTCTAAAACCGCAGAACAGAGTTCTGAAAAAGATCCAATTGCTGGTTGGGGTAAACCTTTAGCTCTACCTAGTCCAGTTCGGCCAAGTACTCCTGCTAAACAATCTAAGAAGGGAGATGACCCATCTTGTGACACTAACAAGGTGAATGTGGATTTTAAATATTTTCAAAACGAAAGAAAAAAACCAACAAAACTAAAACTAACTTGATTTAAAAAACTAAAAATATTTTTTGCATTGCATTCTAATTCCTGATGTGTTAAATGGAAAAAGTGTGAGTTTTTAAAATGAAATAAGTTTTCATTTTCAAAAGTTATGTTTTACAAATTAGAACGAGAATCTTTAGAAAGTTCAATTGGGGAAAATAAGATTCTAATTTGTGTTTTTTATAAATTGATCTGAAATCACAATTATAAATAATGGGGGTCAGAGAAAAATTTAAAGCATGACAAAGAAACAAAATTGTGTCTTGATGAAAAATATTGTTTACAACCTGTAAGGAAAAACACAGAAAAATACTTGACATGAATGGTTTATGGATGTTGATGTGAAGATGATAAAACAAAACAACTTTATTTTCCTGTAGTTTACATTTTCTATTTTGCAACAAAATATTTGGTATTTGATTTGATTTGATTTGATTTGATTTGATTTGATTTGATTTGATTTGATTTGATTTGATTTGATTTGATTTGATTTGATTTGATTTGATTTGATTTGATTTGATTTGATTTGATTTGATTTGATTTGATTTGATTTGATTTGATTTGATTTGATTTGATTTGATTTGATTTGATTTGATTTGATTTGATTTGATTTGATTTGATTTGATTTGATTTGATTTGATTTGATTTGATTTGATTTGATTTGATTTGATTTGATTTGATTTGATTTGATTTGATTTGATTTGATTTGATTTGATTTGATTTGATTTGATTTGATTTGATTTGATTTGATTTGATTTGATTTGATTTGATTTGATTTGATTTGATTTGATTTGATTTGATTTGATTTGATTTGATTTGATTTGATTTGATTTGATTTGATTTGATTTGATTTGATTTGATTTGATTTGATTTGATTTGATTTGATTTGATTTGATTTGATTTGATTTGATTTGATTTGATTTGATTTGATTTGATTTGATTTGATTTGATTTGATTTGATTTGATTTGATTTGATTTGATTTGATTTGATTTGATTTGATTTGATTTGATTTGATTTGATTTGATTTGATTTGATTTGATTTGATTTGATTTGATTTGATTTGATTTGATTTGATTTGATTTGATTTGATTTGATTTGATTTGATTTGATTTGATTTGATTTGATTTGATTTGATTTGATTTGATTTGATTTGATTTGATTTGATTTGATTTGATTTGATTTGATTTGATTTGATTTGATTTGATTTGATTTGATTTGATTTGATTTGATTTGATTTGATTTGATTTGATTTGATTTGATTTGANGGGAAAGATGTATACACATTTCTAGAGTAGATTTGATAAAAAGATCAGAAGTCAAAACTTTTGTGTTGCAGAATCTCAGGATCAAGCATTGATCTCCATCTTATACAGATCAATGCAGAATCTCGGGATCAAGCATTGATCTCCATCTTATACAGATCAATGCAGAATCTCGGGATCAAGCATTGATCTCCATCTTATACAGATCAATGTTGAATCTCGGGATCAATCAATAATTTCCATCTTATACAGATCAATGCAGAATCTCGGGATCAATCATTGATTTCCATCTTATACAGATCAATGCAGAATCTTGGGATCACGCATTGATCTCCTTTTTATACAGATCAATGCAGAATCTCGGGATCAATCATTGATCTCCATCTTATACAGATTAATGCAGAATCTTCATTGATCTCCATCTTATACAGATCAATGCAGAATCTCGGGATCAAGCATTGATCTCCATCTTATACAGATCAATGCAGAATCTCGGGTTCAAGCATTGATCTCCATCTTATACAGATCAATTTAATCACTCTTCAATATCCCGCGATGGTCGTACCCTGCAGGGATATCCTTTATTATTTGATTGAATGATTGATTCTCAAATTTGAAAGTGTCCACATTGGATATCGATATCAAGCATTTAAGATTAACAATACTTCAAAGAAAAATTGCGACCTCTGTACTTATCCTATCTGTTTTTTTAAATGAAGGAGAGTGTTGAACCAGTTTGGATGGATCTAGCGTATGTTCCCCATCATGGTTGTAAGAATTACGCCAATGTCGAGTTCTTTAAACGTGTTCGTGCACGCTACTACGTATTCAGTGGAGTGGAACCTTCTAAAGATGTGTTTAATGCTCTCCTGGAAGCAAAGAAAACTTGGGAGAATAAAGACCAAGGTAGGGCACTAGAAAATTAGAAAGTTTAAGAAAAGGTGTAAAATCGTTGTGTTCGAAATGTGGCCCAAAGTTGTAAAATTTTTTAGTTTTAAGCATTAAGGTGGACATTTTAAGCATACGGTGATAAAGGTTCAAAATACAAGATATTTAAAAAATTAGAAAAATTGTTTTAAACAAAGGAGTTAGTTTACAATGTTATTAATAAGAAAGCTATTAAATGTAAAAACTCATTGTTTCTTCAAACCAAGACTGAAGAGTCTCTCTGCACATATTTAGTTTAGTTTAATTTTAAGCTAATTGATTTCTGTTGGAACTTAATTACATTTAAGCTAAGGTATTAATTGTGTTTAGGATATGCTTAAAAGTGTTTAGTATTGATTCTTTAAACCTTTATCTGACTAATAATGTTAAAGATTGTGTAGTTGTTCAAGGGATAAAAGTGTTAAATTCCTACATGTTTTCTTGCAGTGGAAATGCGAAAAACACTTCTGTAGAGAAACCACAATTAGAAATAATTAGTTTTTAAACTTAAAGACATTGATTTCTAATTGTATTTGATCAGACACAGCTTTAAAGGGTACCAATGTAAATCGGACATTGCCATCTTTGCAAGGAGGGTCAGTTGAAATTACGTTGTACAGTCTCTTTAAACTTAATTTTAAATTTAGAAGTAACAATAATCCCGACGTATGACACTGATGTACTGGGATACTGGGTAGCGGAGAACGAGGAAACATTGACGGAACTTAAAATAGATCTTGCTCCGTCCGCCAGTAGATGCACAATCAATCTCCAGGTAGGATTATCTATACAGGTGTATCCAGGTGTGTAGGCAGTGCCTGGGTTCATTCTTTTTCGATGCAGATCCAGATCCGGATCCGGATTTAGCTCAAGAAAATTTCTTAAAGTTTCATTAGTTGCCATTACAAACGAGTAAAGAGAGCAAAAGAAATTTGAGCTAAATTATCTTTTTGTTGAATAATCTGAAATTATTTCAGGATCACGAGACAAGCTGTGCAGCGTACAGATTAGAGTTTTAAACAAGATGTCCAGCTGTACACGGTGTACACCGTACACTTAGCATATACATCATTGTATAATGCAGTACACTCAAAATTGATTCATATATATACATATATATTTATTGTAATTGTATTCTGTACATTATGAATGTATTGTAGTGTTGAGCTGTACGATTGCTGTTAAGTACATAACTTTAAAGTTCATGTACGCTTCAAACCAATTCTTTTAGTTAAATTATACACTATACAGTGTACAGTGTACACTGTATATTCGAAACAATGCACTAGTTTTAATCTAATATAATCTTTATTCAGATAAAAATAAGGTTCCACCAGATTCATTCATTTATAATCTGTAATTATACTATGGTTATATATTCATCTTAAATGAATATATATAGAATATATAGTTCCCATTTCATTTAGCCTTTTTCTCTGGTCTCTATCCATGAAACTCTGTATTCCTGTATCTTCCTATCCGGCCTGTTTCACTGTATCCTCCTATCCTCTCATGTATCCCTGTATCATCCTGTCCTGTATCCCTGTATCTTCCTACCCTGTCCTGTATCCCTGTATCCTCCTACCCTGTCCTGTATCCCTGTATCCTCCTACCCTGCCTTGTATTCCACCATTGTATCTCTGCATCCTTTTATCTTGCCTGTATAATGTATATTTGTACCTCTGTACCCTTCCACTTTGAGTTTTATCTCTGTATCCTTATATTCTGTCCCCCCCTCAGCTTGGGCCTTAATCCCCGTATTCCCATAACTATCCTTGTATAAATTATGATTATTATAATTGCCTTAATTGATGTTTTTAGTAAGATATTTAATTGAGCTGTGAGAGTTGTTTAAGTTTAAAGAATCCATATCTATTCTATTCTATTCTATTCTATATTCATCCTTCATGGGGTAAACCCGTATTCATCAAGTGTAGATGAATAACCCTTAGTGTGATAATTAGGCCCGGGTTTAGAAAATGTATATTTGGTGCTTATATTTAACCCTTAAACCCTCTTAAACCATGGTTTTATCAAGTTTGAATCAGAATATATTTTTAGTGATAAGTTGACCGCTTCTAATAACATGTTTTATGTATATCTATTACAAAATGCTTTTTCTTGCTTCGCTCTATGGAAAATATTGTATTTTTTGGTGATTTAAGACAGAGTTAGCTAATTTGAGTATTTTTTGGTGATTTAAGATAAAATTTAGAAAATTCAAATAAGAAAATAAATCGCCGCGAGATGTGCTTAAATTGCAGTTAAATACATTAAATTTGAATGGAAAAGGGAGGAATAAGGAGGGATAATGGGCCTTTCAGCAGATTTTTTTAAAATTCTGATTTGGTTGCTTCTAAAATCCGGAATGCGGTGTTGTTAATTTGTTAAATATATTAATAATAATTATATTTATCTTGCTAAATAAACAATTGGAAAAGAATTTGTTTCAATATAAAAATAAAAAAATAAGATTTATCATATGAAATGTAGAGCCTGAGAATTATTAATTGTTAATCAAAGAGAAGAATTATTGGAGAAAATCTGTTTTTGTTTCTCTTCTAATACAATACAGAGGAGCTGAGATAAATGAGAAGAATATAGAATCGACAGATTTATAAATATAAAATAAGATTAGAATTTTCTTTAGACACTATAGAATGAAGTAGGCACTAGGCAGTTAGGAAGAAAACAACATTTTACAAGTGATATTTTTATAAGGCGAGGGATTTTCGGAGGGACGAATTACAGAGGGACAATTTCCGGAGAGACAAATTATAGTACAGAGGGACAAATTCCATGAGAGACAAACTACAGAGGGACAATTTCCGGAGAGACAAATTATAGTACAGAGGACAATTTTAGGAGAGGCAAATTGAAGTACAAAGGGACAATTTCCGGAGAGAGAAATTATGGTACAGAGGGACAATTTCCGGAGAGACAAATTATAGTACAGAGGGACAATTTCCGGAGAGACAAACGACAGGGGAACAAATTCCGGAGAGACAAATTATAGTACATAGAGAGACAATTTCCAGAGAGAGAATTTCAGAGGGACAACTTCCGGAGAAGTGATGAAATGAATTTTTTAACAAATACGCTATTTATTATAGCAAAGATGTTAAAGACCTTTTTTCAGCACATTTTTTTTTCTAACTTGGTAAGTATATTGTTTTCTCTATGTTAATAAATAACAAAATAACGACATACTAAAATGTAGGTCCGTGAGGTGAGTTGTATCAGATCCACCAAAATTTAACTATTTTAACCTATTTCTTGAACTCAGTTTTTGATCTTAAAAGGCCTGTAAGCGTATATTTAAAAGCTTTGTCTGATCAATTATGAATTAGATTTCAATATTTATAATTTTAGAATCTGAGCTGAAAACTTTAGAATGAGATATCCTTAATCCCAATCACTTAATCTGAGTATCCATTATCCGATGGACACACTTTTGATTTTCTTCTTAAACCTTTCTTTCTTGGATATAGTAGAGAAAAATCAAAAACCGTTTTTTTATTTAGAAAGTCCCTCCCGTTTCTGTATATAATCTTAAATTGCGCGCAAAATTTCAAACTAACGGGTTAATATACGCGACTCTGATTGGTTGAATTTTATACACTTTTCAGGATACAAGTACAAGATTAGGTTCGTCTCGAGATTAAGAAAAAGAGAGAATTAAGCATTAATCTCGATATCTACCATTCTAAAGTTTTCAGCTCTGATTATTTTCCATTTTGGTTTTTCTTCAAAAGAGACTTGCGCATTTGTATTGCAGGAAAACATACAGTAATTATCAAAATTAATTACCTTTTAACCTAGAAATGACAATATTTTCTACGTAATTGATCAGATAATTGTTTTAAATGTTACCGTTTTTAATTGGGCATTGTCATCTTTGTATGGAGGGATAAATGAAATTACGCTTCCAGTCCCTTCAAACAATCAGGAATTCATATAACAATTCCTGGCAAGGTTTCAAACCTCAATGCTCCGATCTAAAATTTGCTTCGTCATTTCATGCTTTAATCAATATTTAATATTTATATTCCATCACCCCCCCCCCCCCCCCCCCCCCCCCCCCGGTCCTGCAGAGCCTACAGTTTATGCACCTGTAGACCAGAATTTCTCCGCTTAAGCTTGGATATCCTAAATTAAGTTGAGCTTGGTGCATAAAGCATGGTGCTCTAGAGGATGATGGTGCAAAATAGGTTATTTGATTAAACCACAATCTATCTATCCACTTTTATGCAACACCTGTCAAAGCACTGGCCTGGAAAAGGCAGAGATGGAGAAAATTGGAACATTTACTAACATGCATATTAAGGCAATCGTTTTTTTCTTTTTTTATAATCAAAATGTAAAATAGAAACAACAAAAACTAGTTTCCAAAACAACAGTTTCTAAATAATTTTTTTTTTTTTTAAATAGTAATAGTCACAATGGTTCCTTTAAATGCTATGTTTGAGTTTGAAATAAAAATCATTGTTTATAATTTTTAAAATGGATTATTCTCAATTGTGGTTTCTCTACAAAAGTGACTTGTGCAAAATATATTTCACTTATCAGAATTGTACACTTTTAAACATAGAAAAACGACAATTTCCTCCACATTTTCATGTCATTGGAGGGTCACTTGAAATTACGCTTATAGTCCCTTAAAACCTACATAAATCATAAATATTTTCTTTATAGACCTTTTGTACATTATTTTCATTTGAAACGACCAGTCGTTCACCAGTTTATTGACTTTTTATCTTTTTTCCATTTTCTTGTCGATTATATTACTTTATCAGATAAAAATGAAAGAGCCTTTAAAATTGGAAACCATTTTCCCTGTGACAAAGATAATAAAATTGGTGAGGGAGGGGGGCGTGCTGCTACAGGATAGGATTCTACATCAATTTTTTCTGTTTAAGTTAATGGCCTACAGGAGTCGAGATTTTGCTACAAATTCAGATTTTTTTACCCCTACATCTTTGGAACCCAATTTTGTAAACCTTTGATATTTCATGATATTCTACTAAATCGGATAGTCTAAGTTTGAAATATCAAAGGTTTACACCATCAAGCTGCAGACCTTTGATATTTCAAACTATAAATTCTGTTTGATCAAATAGTCAAAGTTTGGAATAATAAAGGTTTAGGCCATCAGGTTGAGAAAAAATGCGATTGGAAATTTTGAGTTTGTGGCAAGAACTCAGTTCTTTAGTTGTTTATTTTAAAGATTATGAAAAAAATCCACATAAGTGAAAGAATTGGATCTTTGCCCAAAACTTAAACTTTCTAATTATCTTTGCAACCTGATGGTGTGAATTCATAGGCTTTCTCTGAAATTGGATCCCAATTTCGTCTCGTGAATGAAGAGTTATGTAATCTTTCAAACTATTAAACGAGATTTAACATATAAATTTCTGATATTTGCGGTGCAATCTTGGATTCAGGATTCAAGGCAAATATTAGAGATTCAATGGTTATTAATTATTAATTATTAATTATTAATGGTTATTAAAAGTTGAGAAATAAAGTTTTCTACGTTTGCGACATCGATCATGTTTTAAAACACTAACACTTTTTTATTCTTAGTACAAACATGAATTCTGTAGAAGAAATTACTTTTAACAAAACTTTCCTGGATGCACTAGATAGAGAAGTTCTTGTTTATGTGAAATGGAACTTTGAAAGATTTTTTAATTAGTTCTTTTAAATTTATTATTATTATATATCTGCATTGAGTAAACATTTAATTAGTTTTCAAGATGGCTGCATTTAACACAACACGCGGCATTTTATTAAGGCTGCACTTTTTGCACAAACAATGAGTTTCTTTAAAATGTATATTCCCGGGTTGCAATAAACCTAGTGAAGCATAGAACAGACTAAATTTGAAAACTTTTCAATTTAATGGACCGTTGAAAAATTGAGAATTGATCCAGAAATAAATATGGCTAAAATATAGATTATATTGTTATATTTGAAAGGATACCCACAAAGGCGGGTAACAATACTCTAGTAGTCTTCAAGTTACACACCAATAATAGAACAAAGTAGTTGAACATTTATATTAAAGAGAAACAAAATGAATGAATAAATAACTAAAGTCAAAAGACACAGATTTGGCACTCAGTGATGGGTTACTCCTGTCGGATACTCCTTTGCTGGATACTCCTTTGGCTAGATACCTCCTTTGGCTAGATACTCCTTGGCTAGATACCTTCAACATGGTATCTCCTCAGGGCTGCATATCTCCTCAGGCAACATATCTCCTCAGGTCAATTATCCCCTCAGGTCAATTATCCCCTCATGCAACACATCTCTTCTGGCACCATCTTTGTTCGGGTAATAAATCTCTTCAGCATGTTGTTTTCCCACAGCTCCAATCTGTCCAAGCAGTTTCTGTTCCATTGGACTGACTGCTTCTTACCACTGTGGGGAGTTGGCGAATGTCTTCATCCTCTCCTTGTGAGAGCTGGCGCACAACTGGCTTCTTTCTCTTTCCCTCTCTGTGTTCTGAACCCAGATCCCGCCAATTCTTAATCCTGGCTGGTCAACCCCTGTAGGGTGGCAACACTAGATAAGGCGGCTGGAGCAGGGGGAGGGGGGCCAGGTTTGGGTTGGTTTGTTCTGAAGAATTTTCCATGCTCTATACCCATCCTCAGCAGGGAGGGGGGGGGGGATGGTTACAATATATCGGAATTTTCACTTCTTCCTGCAAAAATGTAAGTG